AAGGGGAAGCACAAATCACGCCCAATGGGATTCATCTCACCTGCTTTGCTTGTCCAGAATTAGGTATCTCTTTTAAGGCAGCTGTGTAGGCTCTCTCACTATTCAGTTGAGATGTAGGCATTGCTGGAAGACATCTTATTACACCTTTCTTAGACACCCATGTTATACTGTGAGCCATCTGGAGGCATCTGTCTCTCTCCGCTGACTGGCCAGGGAGCCTAGACAATTCATTTTGACTGGACACTTAACTTATAGATGTCTGGAAGTTTGATGGAATGAATCTCAGCAGACTGTATGTTGCCCAGAGACATGCAGAGCATGTGAAGTCTGTAGATTTCAGAGAAACTTATGTAAATGACATTTACTACATCAGTGAAATATTTTGCCCATGGAAGACAAAAATGTCCGTCAAAGACAAAATGGATATAATTAACACTAGAGAGATCCGTGAAAATATGGGTACAGGAGAAAGTGAAGACATAAAAATGTAAAATTAGTTGCTGCTTTTCAAATATTTGAATGTGAGGTAAGATGCTGCATTTTAGATGAAATTTAGGTGAAGCTTGTATTTATCATTTTCCTCCCAACAGCCCACTCCCATCGTCCTGTTGAACACACATGTGCTCTGATCCTGGAGCAAACTTCAGGCCATGGGTGGACACTGGATTTCACTGAGATTCCCTCTGAGATAAATAATTTTGTTTAGGTGAGCAGCTGCTTTCCTGATGCCTAACTGAGAGTACCAGTGTGCTACGGTGAATGTTATTGAGAGAGGTACAGCCTGTGTGGGCTCCTTTCTTCATCCCTGCCCCACTAATCCACCCTTGTTCCTTCACAGGGAACTTGTTGGAGGTCAGAGTTGAAGTGAGATAAAGATTTGTCAGTTTCCTAAGAACTCAGTGATACCCAGAAAATAGCCTGCCATTGTGCGCATTGCTCCTTGTGCTGCTGGCATACCTCTCCTTTGGCTCTTTCTAGTCTTTGATTTGAGAAACAGAGGAGATGTTCCTAAAGCGCTGCAGGAATTTTGTCAACATGTGATGCATAGCCTGTGTCCATACATGAGTGCTGTTACTCCTGTGATCCCAAATCTATTTCACTTTCTGTATTACATCATGGTTCCCACCTGCTCCTCTACCAGCAAAATAAATCATTTACTTAATATGCTCCACTGAGCAGCTTGGGATTTGAACCTATTCCTAAATCTCCCCTTTCACTTTGCAGATACCAGCTCACTGTTACCATGTGAGTAAACACAGGCTATCAGGTCTCTGGTACTGGAAGACTGAAGAGAGTTTTTCTGTCCTGGGGCTAAGGCTCTAACATCACAGACCTCTTGAATAAAAATCTTGGAAGCACTTTATGACTCTTATTTATCTCCACTCTCTATTTTCAAACAAAATAACTAATTTGGGACAATGAGACTGGATGCCCTGGTCTACTGGGGAGTAAGTCTATCTGTTGTGCCCTTTTTCTCTGTGTTTTTTGAGGAGGGATTGGTTTAGGTTGAGCACTTGATTTCAGAAAGGCATTTGTGCCTGAAAGTCAAGACTAGACCGTAGAGCCTTTTGTTGCTGAAAGTGGGTGATGTTGAACCTAAACTCTGTCTATCATAGCATTTTGCGCTGCCTCACTGGTGTTTTTCTAGTCAACTTCCTGCTTTCAGTTAAAGAAACCTCCTTTAATGAGAAATTCTGGTTCCTACTTTTCAGCACCTGCCTCTGTGCACTGTGTGGAGAGGGTTCATATCTCAGAATCAAGGCCAAGGACTTCCCAAAACTGCATGGTACCTAAATGCCAGAGAATGCTCAGCTGATCATTTTTTTGCCTCAGTCCTTTGCTGAATTTAGCTTCTCTGACCTGCATTGATCCCGTTTCTCCTCAGCCTTTACATGAAGGGCTAGGGCCAGGATCTCCAGTCCTTGGTGCCATGAGAAGTTGATTCAGCCCCTCAGGTCAGAAATGCCTTTTGGAGGTGCCCTTTCCTCTCTCTTGCACGCTGGTGACTGTAAAAGGTGCTGAGACTGACAAAGACTCCTAATTTCTCTCTCTGCTGTCCAGAACACCAACAGGATTTAGTATTTCAATAACTGACTCCAATGGAAATGGGAGTTAGGCTGTTGCTACAGACTTGTGCTGAGTCTTGCTGGGGAGAGAGGGTACTGTGCTGCCCTTTCTCCAAGCTGTCACCTCAGCTCTCTAGCAGAGAGTGCTGCTCTGGCAGCAGGGTGTGTGTGTGCCCCTTCCTCATCCAATTCAGGATAGGGTGCGGCCACTTAAAGGCAGCTTTAAATGAAACAGAAACGCAAAACAACCATAACCAGAAACGCATGCGAGCGGGATCTGTGTCCTGACATGAGGGAGATAAAAGAATCTGCCCCAACCTTCCTAAAGCAGAACAAAGACACTCTCCAGAGCTCCTTTGAAACTGTCATTATGGGGAGGGGGGCAAAGAAGCTCGTTTTCCCTTCTTTTGGCAAAGTATCCATTTGTGAGAAGTTTACAGTCTGTGAAATCTGTGTTCACGCTCTGCATCATGCATTAGTATTTTTGCCCTCCCCCCTCTGCCAGGATCCCTGCTACAAAAATATCTGTCCCCTCTTAAGTGTCAGAGATACTTTATAGCATATCACAAAAAAGTGTCCCCCTTTTCAACCTGAATCAAACCCTTTTTTCTTCTCTTGAAAGAAGAATCTATTATTTCATTTATTTCAAAAGGACTTCATGTCTCTGTTTCAAGCAGTGAAAGACAGAAGCAAATTCAAACAAAAACCCACAGGCTGATTACGGAGACCCATGAAACAGGCCTTCCCAAACATCTTTGGAAAGCTCACTGAAAGTGTCTCATTTAACCTGTTTCTTTAGAGGATGTGCCGGTGCCTCTGGGCAGAGGTACCTGCCCCTTGTATCACAGCCTGCTGCCTGGCAGTGCCCGTCCAGAAGATCCCACGTGGACTCCAACCAGACTGTCATTTCCAGGTCAATCTCCGCATTTCTGCTGACCATGTTGCCTTTATCATGAGATCATGTCTTTCCAGAGAAATCCCACTAATGCCTCCATTCTGTGAGACTGGTATATATAGAGGCAGCTTTTCTGGGCTACGCTGTGCGGTCCAGCAAAGGCATCACTGTCTTCCGAGTGGTTGCACTGCCCTCGCTCTCTCCCGTTGAAAACACAGCAGCAGCAATCATGGACATTACCATCCAGCACCCCTGGTTCAAACGTGCTCTGGGACCCCTGATTCCAAGCCGTTTGTTCGACCAGTTTTTCGGAGAGGGTCTTCTCGAGTATGATCTTCTGCCTTTGTTCTCTTCCACTATCAGCCCTTACTACAGGCAGTCTCTCTTCCGCAGCGTGCTGGAGTCAGGCATTTCAGAGGTAAGGGTTCTCGATTTCCTCTTCTTTTCCTTACTTTCCTTCCTTACATTTCCATCCTCTTCTCTCCCCCTGCTACTTTCCAGAGTGCAATCAGACCCTGTAACCTAGCACTCTGATGCGAATGGGTGAGGAAGACTGCCAGCCTGCTGCCAAAAACTCAGCCTGCCTGACCCTTCTGGACACAGAAGGAAATCTTAGCTCAGGAGAAGGCTTCCCATCAAGAAACGGAAAATGATTCGGCTCCTAAGAGTTGCCTATGACTTAAAAGACTTAAGACTTTTGATCTCCTTTCGCTGCTGAGTGCAAATACGCAGTATACCTTTAATGACAGATTACTAAGTGCAGTCGAACTGATACACCACAAAAGAGTAGCAACAAGAAGTGATGTGTATCCCAGAGCGATAGGAAGGGTGTAGATGCTTACCATGGCTTCCCAGGATCTCTGGGGCCTCGCCCACTGTGATGTGAAGGAAGACTCCTGCTGATGCCAGTGGGCTGTGAATCGACTTGGTCTGTAGTCGCAGAAGGGAAAATCATAACACTGTGAAACTACAGCTCCTTGTCTTTTAAGCTGACACAACGCTGCCACTGCCTCCACTTTTAAAACTTGGGTCATATTTTTTAACAATGCTCATTTCAGGTGAGATCTGACCGGGAAAAATTTACAATCATGCTGGATGTAAAACACTTCTCTCCTGAAGACCTAAGTGTGAAGATTATTGATGACTTTGTGGAAATCCATGGCAAGCACAATGAAAGACAGGTAAGTGGAAATAACAATGAAGGTGAAGCAACTGGGGAATCAAGCTCTATTTTCTGTCATTCTGATGTTCCTCCGGGAAGGAAAAAAAATCAGAGGAAGGAATTGTCATCACTGATTGTCATTACTGGTGTGCTCAGTCCTGATAGAGCCCAAACCTGATATCTGACAATAATGAGCTAACCCAGTTCTCTTGTTTATTTTAAATCTTCATCTTCCGTAACTGTCAGAGGACGATCTGTATTGTTCACTAATAACGTCTGACTGGAAAAGAGCATTATCTGGCACTGCCAAAGCATGGCTGAGTTTTCATAAGCCAGATCATTAGTGAAAACAAGAGTTTTCACATGCTGATCTGGAAGAGAAAAGCAAAACCAAACAAAACAAAATAAAAACAGCCAAGTGCCTCGGGCTTGGAAACTTTAACACATATGTCATGGAAATATTTGTGGGGGTTGAAAAGTGAATTATGCCAGCAGGGGTTTAATTCTTTTCATACACTTTTTGACCAAATGAAACTCTAGCTCCAAAACAGTATATATGTTTTTTAATATAGCTATTTTTTCTGTGGCTGTTACTACAGAGGCTGAATTAAAAAATAAAAAGTATTTCTCATTCTTTTAGCTGAAAAAAAAGGAGGCCGAGATTGTATCCTTTGGCCGACACAGTGTTGCTGCCTATTAAGGAAATACACACAAACACACGCACTGCTTATCACTTCTCTGAATTTCAAACTTTGTCTTCAGACATCCTTTCAAATTGGAGGCTGTGGCAGGGACCGTGTGAATCAGACCGTGCAGTATAATGAGGCCAAAATTCTATCCTGCCGGTCTGTTCATCTCTCTTGGCTTCAGGGGTGTCACAGGGGACACCACTCAAGACAGGATCTGGCCCTGCTAAACTGTAAAATAGAGTAAAATGCAAATATTTGCCTGATGATATCTGCAGTAAAATCTCATGATAAGCCACTGTAAATACGGGGCTCCATGCTACTGATCCTGCGAGTTAGGACAAGCGGATGGGCAGGCATGAAATGATGCCATGGGGGTATCTGACCAAATTACCTTCTGTTTCCGCCCTCACCTCTCAGGATGACCACGGCTACATCTCCCGTGAATTCCACCGCCGGTACCGCCTGCCCTCCAACGTGGACCAGTCTGCCATCACCTGCTCCCTGTCCAGCGACGGCATGCTGACCTTCTCTGGCCCCAAGGTCCAAGCCAACATGGACCCAAGCCACAGTGAGAGACCCATCCCTGTGTCCCGGGAGGAGAAGCCCACCTCTGCGCCTTCCTCTTAGGCTGAACCTGTTGCTGAAATATGCAGGCTGTCATGATCTGCAGGCCTCATTCCCAGAGCCGTTGTGTAGATATCAGTGAATATCTAGAGGGGTTTATTTTCTTTTCTGGTTCAGTTTTTCTTTTCTTGAACGGAATGAGGGGCTGGGTGATCAGCTGGTGGACTTTGAAGCTTAAACCTGCAAGCTGTGCTGTCGGGATGGCATGGATCACGTGTGCTGCCACACTGACATACTTGCTGAAAGGGTCTTCGTCTGGTGCTGTAGTCCATAGCCACCATCACATAGGAGGCGGTGCAAAAGTAATACTGACTCCCGATGCACCAATTCTTGATGTGAGGTTTGAGCAGGGGAAAAGCCTTGCAGACTTACTCTATCCCACACAGTTAGAGTTAAACTGATTACTGTAAAAAAACAACACAGCCAAAGCAAGTCCCCCACCTGAGATACTGTGTATGTGCAATGAATGTACCACGAGTTCCTTACAACCACAGGACAAATAACAACGTGTTATGTTCAGGGGTTGCAACATATCTTTTTTTTTCAGCGAAGTGTTTGAGTGTATCTGTTCACACCATTACCTTGTCATTTCCCTTCGGGACAACTGATGCAAGGACAAGCATGTCTTTCCAATGTCTCAGCAGGCCCTTCAGGGAGAGAGGGGGGCTCATCACTGTGCAGAGGCTTCAAATCCCTACCAAGCCTTCCCCAGCTTGTGCATAACACACCATCTTTCTTACTCTTGCTGTAATTCTAATGTAGCTCCATCTGTTCTACTGGTATCTGGCACTCAATTTGAGAACTCAGTCAGCGGCAGTCAATAAAGAGGTATAGGAAACATGCAATTGGCTTTCTTGGGTTTTATTTATTCCTTTCCAAGGTTTCCAAAGTTGAAAGGTTAGCATGCACTTTCTACCACTGGAAGTACATTTTGCAATGACGATATGCCATTTCCTTTATGTTCCTGCTCTTCCTCATGCAAACAAAAAAAATCAACAACCCAGCCTCTGCCATTTTTTACTTTCATCGCGTCAGTAAAGATGGCAATGCAGACCTCATTTCTATAATACAGTGTGAAGGATTTCGTTCCAAGTGAATGATTAAAGCTGTTTGATGGTAGAGCATAGGTTATAACTCTTCCTATAGCTGCAGTGCATGAAATCCATGGCTTTCAAGCCTGCATATATGTGTATGCTCAATACTTAAGGTTTCAGCACTCGTATTTGACTCACATGGCTTTTCGAACAGATGGTGATCAGGAATATTCTGGGAAAGCACAGAATCAGTGTCTTGATAACCCCATAGATAAAATCAGCATGGACACAGTGCTTTTCTTCCTGGTGGAGATTTTTGCATTTGAGATCTGCAGCATGAGGTGGAGCTTCAGAGGGACAGAGCAGAATCACCTGGCTCCTAAGCGAGGGAAGTCACTGCTTCCACAGGCACAGACACAAGCTGGAGCCCAGACAGTTCATCTCAGCTAACGTTTCCTCAGCACTGCTGGGTCATGCCTACAAAATAAGGCAGAGTAACCACAAAACAAGCACACCTGGAAAGAGGACACTTCCACACCCTTGGAGGAAGTAGGGTACATCTGTAGAAAGTGTTTGCTCTGCCAGGAAGACCGGCCCACCACCCTCCGCCCCTTTGCTGCTGATTACTTGTGAAAAAGAGCAACCATTCTCTCTTTTTCCCCCACCTTTGTCATGACATGTTGACTATGTTTAAATATTAATATGAGCCATAAACACACACGTTCTGGCCCTATTTAAAATGTTGCTTTCTTCAGTCATATCCAGGCCAAAACCCAAGGAGGGCTGAGACTCGGGAGAAAGAACATCAGCTCTTACCGGGGTGGACAGTGAGCTTACCCCAGAGCTCAGCCCCATCTGGTGCCTGAACTTCCCCTGAGACCAAAGGAGCATTATAGGACTAATGGCTTCGTGCTTGGCAGCACACCTCATGCCTGGGGTGCTTGAGGCCTGATTCAGAGTGCTTTTGGGGTAGGTGCCACTCCTGCACCAATGTTGGCCAGGCAACCAGGACTGTGCAATGTCCAGAGCCCGCTACAGATGGCCCACTGGGACGGGGAGGGATGGAGGGAGGGGAAGTAAAGGAGAAGGGGCAAAGTGAAAACAGGAAGGAAGAGCTGCAGGAGCAGGGGTAAATGAGAAAGGAGTACGTGTGTGAGCAGAGATACTATTGTCTGGTAATTAGAAAGCAAGGAATCTCCATCACTTCTAATACTATTTTAAACCTATTTTCACTATGATTAATTACTAGGCAATTCTAAAGCTTTCTACCAAAAATGTACCATCTCTTGAATTTGCATCTCCAGGGGAAACACATGAATGAGTGTGTTTGGGAAAAGAACAATTTTGCGCCAGGAGGGAGCCGTTACTACAGTGCTGGGAGCTGCGCAGGCAGGGAAAGGTCATTGTAACAAAGGCTGCTTCTTTCTGCTTTGCCTGGCCATAAAGCGCTTGTGGCCTCCAGCCTTTCCCCCTCTGAGGCGTTCCCGTGTCAGTGCCCCAGGGCCTCCCCTCTGTGCACTGACAGATATCTCCTTCCACACACGAGCGCAGCAAAGCCAAGAGAAAAAAACTTCCAAGGAGTAAGCCCCCACTCAAATCTCTCAATAATGTAAAAAGAGGGAAACACATTTTAAGCTTGAGGCGCTGCAGAAATAGCGTTTGTGTGAACACGTTACCTGCAGGTGTCTGAGCAGTGTGCAATGTCCTGTGAAATGACATCTGAACTGCTTGAGCCCATTTTTCTGTCTGGCAGGCAGAAGGTCCAAGTCTCAAAGACAAGAAGTGACTGGAGGTTTGGGTCAAACCTGCAGCCTTGCGGAAGGGGGAGCAGTGACTCCCGTGCTGCAGTGCAAGTGGGTCCTATAGCAGACCCACGCAGGCACTCGCTCTTGAGGCAAACCGTGGAGAAACCAGCCTTGAACCGTTTCACTGCTCTGAGAATGGCTTATTCTAAAGCCCTTTGCAATCCATTAGCTAATTAAAAACATCACCGGCTGCTCCAAGCCTCTCTCTGAGGACCGGACAGGCAGCTGGTAGAGGTGGTGTTTTGTTAGGCCCAGCTGCAGGGCAGGAGGAAGCATTGCCGAAGGCTGCCAGGCTGTCTCCGTCCCTGTCCTTGGTCCAGGCTGGGACATATGCAGGAGCAGCAAGGCCACATCGCAGTGTGGGGTGGCAAACGCCTTGCTCCTGCCCACTGCTTCCTCCCACGCTTAGCCACGACCCCCTTTCCTTGTGAGGTCAGCCCAGGTTCTCCGGTGCTTGAGTGTTAAAAGTAATGTCCCCATGCTTACTAGTGACAGTGAATCACTCAAAATGTTTCAGATTTTTCACTCAAACAAATGTAATTCAACCTCAGCTACATGGAGGCAGAGTTTTTCATCAGCTGTCTGTCATCCCCATCCCCACCCATTATTTATAAATGGGGAGCTGCAGGGCAAACAGGTTTATTAATATGCCCGGGGTCACACACGGCAAACTGCGGCAGAGCAAAGAAATGCTCTCTCTTTTCCTAAATCTCAAGCCAATGCTTCAGACATGAGGTCTCTCTTCTAGTCATGCCACTATGGGATATTCCTGCCTCCTGTTCTGTGCACTTGATGCTGTGAAGATTATTGCTTCCCTTCATTGGTGTTAAAGCTCTTTTAAAAAGGGGAACTCAGGGTACCCCTGGTAACTCAGGGTAGCTTCTTATTCTTATTGCACTGCATTTTTAACACCTGCTAACTGTTTCCACTCAGAATCTTAACTAAAGCAGACATGGCTTTGGCTTCCTTTCCAGGGAAATCGCTAAAGCGTTAACCCAAGGGTCCTGAGAGGGACACAGGGTCCAGGCATCCAACCTGGTAGAGGGTACATCCCCATCCAGGCAATTTCTCCTTTTCCTGCAGGTCTTGATGACGTAGTGGCAGTGGTGGTAGCAATGCTGGGACCAGAGGCAGCTCCTGGTGCTAGGCCTGGCCCTTCATGCATAAAACTACTTGGGCCAGGTATGTTGCCTCAGCCAAGATCCCATTTTCTCTGGGAAAAAGCTGGTGGGCCATGTGGGAGCAATGCATAGGCAGGGCCTGACCTGCAGCCCACCAGCTGGGAAGTTCTCGTTGAGCACCCAGCACACAGGACCTCAGGGCTCTCCCCTCACCTCCCCTTTTGGCAGGGGGGATTAGGGCAACCCCTTGGCTTCTGCATCTGCTCCCCTGCTGTTGCAGACGCTGCTTCCTCCTTCCTAGGAGCCAGGCTGGGGACTGGCTGCACAAAGTGCTCCTGAACGTCCATTTGCATTTGCAGTGGCCCTGATTACGCAGGTAATGACCCTTTTACCTCCTCCATATCCTTCCTGGGAGATGGTGAGCAGAATTTGCACAGCTGTCTGCGTACGTACCCTGGCAGTTTGGACTTTTGTCCTGCTGCTCCTGGCAGAAGGACAGCCCAGGAAAAGGCGAGCAGCTTGCTGGCGAGGCCGCATCTCCCACAGGGTGGCAGCCTTTCCTGCGCTCTGGCAGACTAAACGCAGTGGCTGGAAAGCCTTCCTTCACCCCCAGGGTCCCTGCTCTCCCACAGGGAGCTTGAAAATTAGGGCGCAAGGCTAGACGACGAATGGATGCAATGAGAGTTGCATGAAAAACTGTAACTCTGGCAGGTCTTGATTTCTGATTGAGTTGCAAATTAGATAACGTTGCCTGAAGATCAGTAGGGAATAATCCGATTTTTTTTCCTCCTTTTTCCTTAAAGAGAAAGCAAACTCTGGTACATGAAATCATCATCAACCTCATCTCCTCGGCACTGTCATCAAGATTTGATCCCTGCAGCACAGATCTCTACTTTTTGAGCTTAAAGAAGCAGTTGTTACCTTCACTGGCAGCAGCAAAGGGCTCCAGAAACAGCCGAAAAGCCTGGTAGCCTCTCAGAAGTGTGTAATACAGCGACACCTCGCATACCTGTCCCATTTTATTGCTACAGCAATCACATAGATTCGGCAGACAGAGTCAGAGAGACGGCGATGATGTGAGCTCTGCCCCCGACCCCTGACTTTGTCCCCTCCAGGCGATCTCTTGTCAGGACTGGTTTGGAAAATTACCAGCCCCCATGAGAAGAGGGG